AACAGGACGGAGGAGAGCCCGAGGCGGTTCTTGCGAGTATGTCAGGCCCACGATCGCTATTGGCGGAGAACAGCAATCACATAATACGTGTGCAGGACCATAACATAAATTTAAATGATAATAGCGAAAACATGCATTGCCAGATACTTTGTTGCTAATTGCGAGCGAGGACGACTGAGGTCTAATTGAAATACAACACGTCGCGTACTGGACGTACTGGAATGGGCCTCCTCTCCCGCGGAAGACTGCAGGCTGAAGAGGGCTTCTGGTACGTCTTCTGGCAGGTGAACTTGTTTCTCTTTTGGCGCTGCGCTAACCAGACACCATTTATCATTGCTGGCCGAACGGGGAAAACTAGATTTCTCTCTGACCACGACCGCAGCTACTAGAGTTGACTTGGAAACGCTGGAAGTCATCGATGATGCTGATGGCACTGCTGGCTGGTCGCTGGCGCTGTTCACTGTTCGACGGGGTTGAGATTTTACGAAAATTAATTTTAATTACCCAGCGATGTTGTCGCCAAAAGCTGCTAACGTTTCTGTCCCGTCATTTTGTAGTAGACAACTAATCAATAACAATTTTCCATGCATTTCCGCTTTTAATTACACGCTGATATTCTACCAGTATTTTGGATAAGCATCTAGTCATTTGAAATATCAAGACAAGATACAAGAGACTACAGAACTAATTAAGGTTACCCGACATTTTGCAAATATAATCTATATTGTAATGAAATAAAAATGAATAAAACCAATGAAAGAAATTTAATATGATCCGTTCTTAACAATTTGCGTATACTTTTAAAGAACTAAAATGCGTTAAAATACTACAACATTTATCTATTATATATTTAGTAGGATTAACAAAATGTTTATATTCAAAAAATTTGATTCTATCAAGAAAGGAAGCTATCCTTGCAGTTTGCAAGTGGAAAAAAAGAATTACAAGGGATATATAAAACTCTACGTATAATAACCCAAATTAAAAAAACAACGAAGAAATGAGAACTTTCATTACTAATGTATAGTACCGACCTGAGTTACCTATAGAAATCGAAATTAGCGCAATAATAAATCTTGCGTTATTGCGTTAGTTTTTGACAGCTTGTTTAAAAACGAACATGAACAACGACGAAAGCCTGATAATATCAGCAATGGAGCCACATAAAGTTACCATGATGAAGTTCAGGGATTTGGCTAGGATATCTCCAGCAACATTCGAGGAGCTGCAAAATTCAGGGATTGACCTGAACGTCTTGAGATCCACTGCGGAATACCGCACTATAGCGATTCTCTTGCCGTTTCCAAAACAAAAGTGTGCAAGACCAATAAGGAGTAGAGAAACAATTAAAGTTGTCGAATTTTAAAAAAAATATCATATCGATGATATTTTTTTTATCAAAAACTATAATGATCATATTTAAAATATCACTGCAAAATATCGATATATATGATATTTTTGATATATTATCAACAACCCTAGGGACAACCTGATCAAGTAATTTGTATATGAAATGCAAGCGAAAGTGCTGAACACATTAGACAAGCGTTGTGCCTACATTGTCAATAAATACTTATTGATTTGCATATACATTTTAATTAAATTTTTTTTATGGTATGTTTGTTTCTGTCTTCCTAATGAATAAATATAATAATTTGGTTTTTAAATTTGTATTATAAATTTAAATACATAAAAAACACACACAAAACAATGTTTCATTACCTTTGACCAATACTTATTATGTTTACAGTTACAGTTATAGTTTTACATTCCCAGCTTTACATTTTCTCTATATCTGCCGATCGTTTCTATGGCTTTATATAACAGAAGTCCGATTTTCATAAAATTTGTACCAAAATTCTGTAATATTAAAGAATCACAGAACATACGTTGAAAAACAACGAAGTTATAATTTTTTTCTAAAAATTTGTCGAACATTTCTGTGGCAGCTATATGATATTGTCGTCCGATCCGGCCCGTTCCGACATATATATAATATCAGTGAGAGTAGTCAGACGACTATATTCCAAAGTTTCATTCAGATAGATCCAAAACTGAGGGACAGAGAAGCGGACGAAAAGATGAACGAAGAGACAGACATGTCCAGATCGACTCGTCTGAAGATGAAGTTGATGAAGAATATATATATACTTTATAGTGTCGGAAATGTCAGCTTCACTGCGTTGCAAACCTTTAACTAAAATTATAATACCCTGTAAGGGTATAAAAACACCACTTGAACTCAATATTTATTTGAGTTAATGAATTCAAGGCCACTGAAAGGCAGTCAAAAAAATTACAATTAAGCGATTCAGGCATGGCATCCTTAGAAGAAAGCTCCAAGAGGACACCAGGCGACCAATTGCCTTCGCCAAGAATACATTTTGAAACCGCTTAACAATCCAAACAACTAAGGGCCATAATGTCCTATGTGTGACCCCACGAACCCCGTCTGGTTTAACCTGACATTATTATAATATTTAAATTTATATAAATATTTTAATAATTAATAAAAAAGAATAATAAACACAAGACAAAAGAGTATTAAAGGTGTTTCCAATTTTTCTCAAAAGGCTGCATTTTGGGAGGAGTCGCTCTCCCCACGAGGCGTGCCGCTTTGGCAAGCAACCAACTGACTCAGAAACGGGTTCCGTTTCAAAACCAAAACAAAAGATTCTGTTGTTCGCTTTTTTTCCAAACTCACAAAGCTCAAAATAAGAGCATCAAAATACATTAATAAAAGTAAAACCTGTTCCCTAGGCAAATATGCAAGGCATTACACGGAAACTGTGAATCAGGCGCAGAGGAGGCACGAAGGCAAACAGTACACGGAAACCAAACAAAAAGAGAGAACAGAGCGTCCAGGCCCACAGTGGGGGCGAAATAAAACAAACTGCATTCCGAAAACTCAGTCAAATGCAAAAAAAAGCAGTAAGCCAGCTCCGCAGCACGAGACAACTTTAAACTTCTAAAGAGGGCAACAAAACGAAGCGTGGCGTGGCGGGGAAAATCAACCAAAAAGAAATCCGGTTTCATTTTCAACCAGAGCAAGGGCTCTGGAACGTCCCTCTGCGGTGCACTGCAGCTTTATTTATTGCTTCGCTGGGGCTCTTCGCTCGCTGCGCCGACCTGCGAATAGATGCAGAAATTAACCGCCGATGCGCGGGAGGACAGGAACGCGGGGACGAGGTTAACCGAAACTCTGCCAGGACGGATTGCCTGAGAGACGAACTTGAAATTTAGATTTCGAGAGCGCCGCAGCGAAGTGCTTTCGCAGTCGCTGCGGACAGAGTCGGAGCCGTCGCAGCGTGCCAGCAGTGGAGAGTCGAAGTGGAGAGCTTAGCGGCCTCAGAGGCTCGTTCCAGATGGCGTTCACGTGTTCTCTCTCGCCGGTACAAGTGTTGGTGAGAGCGCTGTGTCCCTCTGAATGCAGTGTCCACGAACCCCGCTGCAGTTTTTCGGCCGGGCGAAGGGTGAAGTTGAACTTGTGGTTGTGTGGCCACCAGCTCTCTCCCTATTTTCTGGGAGTGTGGCCATGGAGAGTCTTATTGATTTTTATTGTACATGCACAAACGGCCGAAATCGCATGCGAGTTTCCTCACTGAACTAAAAAACCAAAACTTAATCTTTGAAGGTGATGTATCTAATGCTGCCGTTAGACAACTGCATAAACTTTGCTAGATGCACAGCAAACGAAGTTCGAGGTCATTGATCAATCGAATATTGTACATACTTCGCTCTTATAGGCACTTCTCCACGTTCCAAAGAGTTTCTGGCCAAAATCTCAAATATATAGTACAGTAGGAGGAAAAGATAAAAAAGTGAAATTTGCACAAATATGTGCAAAGTGACTGCAGCTGCGCACTTTTTGTAGCTGCCTTGGGCGGTGGAGTGGTGGGCCTTTGGTTTTTGGTGAATTAGTGGAAATGACGCTGAGGAAGCGTTGCAGGCTTGGCAAATGACGAAGAGCATAAACACAACCCATAAGAACAACAGGATCGGCACGAAAATAGGGCCACGCAAGATTGATGATCTCGTTAGAGGGATTCAAGAGTACTCGTCAGCTAAAAGCGAGAGCCGAGAAAACAAGGACCTCAGCCATTAGAGTGAGCGGACAGCAAATTATGCGTGACTGGGTTTTAAATGCCAATAAAACATCTTTAAAGTATATTTTATGCTGGTAATGTAAAGAAGAATGGAATTTAATAACCCATTCACGCTAGTATGTAATATTTATAACCATATCCTGGCCACCCTTCCACATGATCCCGTAGTATTCCAAAAGGTACTGCCGCAAAAGCCTCGAGTACTACTATTAGCACCTTTTTGGCGTAATATAATATTGTAAAACACCTATTTTTTTATTAAGATATAATCGTTATGTGATACAGAAGAGCAGGACACAAATGTCTAGCCCATACACTGACGACACTTTGATATGATAAAGAATGAATCATACTTTTGATTTGTTTTCCATCGAAAATTCGAATCCAAAATCTGACACGGGACTAATCTACATACGTACAGAGAAATTTTTGACTACTCTCTTAGGCTTTTAAGATGGACCTTAACGACGACCATGTCGCAGTAGAGAGCTGAAGCTTCGTGATATTGAGTGGTAAATACGTTGGAATGAGATTGAATTAGCTCTTTTCAGGGGTAGAAATAAAAACGAAATTCTTTAGCTTTCGATCAATTGCTTATAAAGCTGACATTAAAATGTATGTGTGCCTCAAGCTATTTGCAATCAAAAGTAAAAAGCATCTAATCAATAACTTCATACTTAAGAGTTTATGTAGTCGACTATTGTCGGATAAATAGTCTTTAAGTGTTCTCAGTGTTCAGTGTTCCTAATAAAGCATCCAAGCAGAAAATGCCATAAGATTTTCACTGGCCGAGACAGGCTTTTAACATGTTGCTTGCTATACGGCCGCCCTTTTTTAATCCGGTCCTGCGATTTGTTGTAATGGAATGAAGTTACAGCGCATTTCTGCATTCCCTTTTTAACGTTTTTAAAATGGCGGGAATGTCTTGCATGTTTTTATTCAGCTAAATTTGGAATATAATTCTGCTTAATATATTAATGTTCCGCAAGGTTACCAAGTTTTTTTCATTGAGATCTAGGCATGGCTGATTGGCTCTTGAGTGATGTCGTCATTGCTCTTTGGGGGTCACTGGAGAGGTGAGCTAAGTCCACGTTATAGAGCCGGTACTCTACGTTCCGGCGCCGCACGTTGAGCGTGACCACAACGCAGTACAACAGCCCCTGAAGATGCTTAACCAACAATACGTAGGAGGCGCCCATATCGTCTGGAAAAAGAGGCTTGCCCCATGCGGAGCAATCAAAAAAGAAGTAACCGCCGTCGAGATTAAAGTTGTACCCAAAGGCGAAGCACCTATCCTCACACTGCAGCACACCAGATTGAAACCGTGTGAAGAAGTACTTGAAACCCTCAAGCAAGCTCATGGTTGCGCTAGCTGGATCACTGTACAAGTACCCGAAGGCCACAAGCTCCATCTGCACCAGAAAGCGGAGGTCCTGAAAGTCGCATTGGGCACACATGTCGTCCACACTCAGGTGCAGGTCCTGTCGTTGGCTCTTCTCCACACTAGCGCGGTAGTAGCGGTCCCCATTAACAACAATCGCGTCGAGCAGCTTTCCGCTCCAGTCGCCGAGGTGGCGGAAGGTGCTGGCCACGCAGCATGCTACCACACAGCAGCCTAGAGCTTGACGGCCCTGCAGCCTTCTGTCAAACAAGGGGGCCCTAGGATGCAGCCCACCCCAAAGCGACCATACGCGACCCGGTACTTCAATGTCGTAGTCTCGATATCGATCACCGCCGCGACACCGCTGACTACCCTGCAGATTGCAATTTAGTCGCCGGCTCCAGAAAGGTAGGGAATTTTTCGACGTCAGCCAGGTTATTGATTCACTACCAGCCGTCAATGGGGCAGACTCCTGCAACAGTCTTAAAATCCTTCCCGTGGTGTCAAACTCGCATTGTTCGCTGTTCATTCTCCGCCTTTTGTCTACTAACCTTCGGAACCAGAGACAAATCACGGATAGGGGCCTGGCGATGGGTACATCCCTCAAGGGGACCTAAAAATCCGAAAATTTTGGAGCTCTACTCCTACTGCTATCGAAATTGACACTTCGCCTATGGCACACTCTACTTTTTACTATTTACCGTTATAGTTTTATTTTTTTAGGTTCCAAATTTTATTACAAACTTGACCTTAGTACAGCAGATTAGAATACTGTACTAAATTTGGTGGCTCTTGCTCTTAAGGCTCTGTGAGATTTTGTTTTTTATAGGACAAGCGGACATGGCTAAATCGACTCAACGGGTTATGCTATAGGACTTCGAGCTTCCAAACGTTCAGAATAGGAAATATGTCTGTATATTCTTGCAGTAGAAGAACTTATATTTAATATAATATGTAGGATAAGTTATATGCCTGATGTTTGATGATATCGAAATACTTTTTATTTCTGACTTAATTACAGATAGGATACCGTTTTTTGGGAATATATATTCCCCGCGGCACTCAAATTATATCACACAAAACACTTGGGATCCGTGGTGCCTATTCAAAGAACTCGTTAATTCTTTTGGTCTGCGTCGTTTGCCCCCAAGAACAAGTGTATCCTAGCCCTTCGAAATTCATCCTCCAACTCGCTGAGCCTTTGACCGATTCTTTCCCGCATTATCGAAAGCGCCTCCATGTCGTGCTCTGCACTCTCCTTGCTGATCATACTACATTTGCAATTTTCAGAGAACTCTTCGAAGGTTTGGTCCAGGTTGAGCATCTTAGATTCGAGGCCTTGAATGTTTCTTCGCAAATATTTCGCTTGATTTTTAAGGTCGTCTAGAGGCACGCTGATGTCAGAAGAAGAGACTCCAATCTGGTAGGGGGCTATAGTCGCTGGACTTTGCACATAGTGCCTGTGGATCTTTAGTAGGTTAGCTCGAAATTGAGACCAGTCCGCGCCATCGGGATCCCTCTCCACCTCGCTGGTAAATTGGTTTATGTCGTTTATGAGCTGAACAATGTCATCATCCCGTTTGACGTCTTCAGCTGAAAATTCCTCTTGACGACATTCCTTGTCGTTAATGAATTTGGGAACTTCCATTTCAACCTCTGAAACATTCTTAGCCGCTAGCTCACTATTTTGATCCCGAAGAACTGACCTACCTTCCTCAGGCTCTATAATGCCCTTTTAAAACGAAACTGATTAAGGGATTTAAAATTCACATACATCGTTCTTGTTCCCACCTGTATCAGGATTCTCTTAAGACCCTTGGCATTTGAGCTTAACTTGCCGATAAATTCTTTTCGCATTTCGTTGACTATGTCCGCGATTCCCCCCAGATCCGAAGTACTAGTTAAGCGTCTCGAATAGTCGCCCGCCTCGTCCTCAGTTTGCTGATCCAGCATGTCGTACTCGATCAAACCCTTCTGCGGAGCTTGATTACAGATTACTGATCTCTGCTGAGTTGTGTGCGTACTAACCTCCACTAGAAGATCAAGATGGATGGCATCACAGCAAAGTTCAGACGATCTAGGCAGTTCATCCGTAGACACAGTCATAGTGTCTTGGCTCCAACTGCTCCTTAGGGTGAGCTGGCTTTTCGATGGCTGGGCATCTCCCCCGCCATCTAACTCCATGGAAGCATCTTCGGTAGGCAAATCACGTTCCATTTCCATTCTACGAATAATTTAGTAATTATTAACTACTATCTTACGTACCAAAATCAATAGTCTCGAAACAATACTGATATATTGCTTAGATCCCAAGTTACAACCCTTTTCTCACAGACAGGGCTCTTTGCTGTCTCCTAGCCCCTTCGGTGGGCAGTGATTGCGGTGTGTGTTTGAGATCGTGATAACCGACCCGGGAGCTTAGTTAGTTTAATTAAGTTCGCGTTGTTGCATCGCATTAGCACAACCAATAATTTGTGCCATCGTAAACACGTCGTAAATTTTGCACTCGCAGAGTCAGCCCTTTATTTTCTGCAGAAGACAAGAGGCAAGCATCTCTTCAGTAAGAAGTAATTACAGTCCATTAAATACGCAGCGTTTTCTCCGGTGTTTCATTTTCTTCATACTTGGCGTATTCGAGATAAGTGCCGCTTGCCGGTAGCCAACTTCTCCCCTTCTCCTTTTCTGCAATTGATGCCTTTGAAAGAAAATGTTTCGCATTTCTCTACCCCTCTTCGGGTATTTAACGGTATTCGTTGCCTAACCTATATATATAAATATATATAAATCCAATCTCCACTTGATCGAGTTATCGTTCTCGGAAAAAAACCAAATATAGGGGTAACTAAGCAGGATATGGAGGAATAATTTAGTAAAATTCGCTTCGTTTCTAGACAGCATATTGACCTATTAATGACTATCCTGAAAGCCAAAATATTTTACAAAATTCATTGGATAAATTCAATTAAGCTGCTCACGGAAAAAAATAAAAGCAACATTAAAAAAAACGGCTATTATAATGATCATGACTTTTGTCAAGACATAAAACATTGGTTTTTGTCCGCATTCCGCATGTCACCGCATATGTAATTGCAATTCATAGACCCCTCATTTCAAATATGCAAGCATCCTAGAATCCATATGTAATTCGGACATGCAGCTTGGGCTATCTCTTGGACTACCAGGTGTGTTAGTTGAAGTTTGCCGGTTTTTTTGATAAAGAAAACACTCAATTCTCAAGAGAATGTGAAAAATTTGTTATTCAAAGTATTGACCGTTGGCTTCTACACATTTCGCCCATCTTTCAGGCAAAGTATGGATACCATTCCAAAACAACTTTTTTTCTTACGAAGCAAACCATTCGACGAGCCATTTTTCGACTTCTTCAAAATTGGCGAAGCGCTGCTCTGCCAGTGAGTGTCCCATCGATGCAAAAAGGTGATAGTCGGACAGGGCGAGGTCTGGAGAGTACAGCGGGTGCGATAATATTTCCCAATCAAGTCCTTTCAGTGTGTCCATCGTCAGTTTAGCGGTATGAGACGGCGCGTTGTCATGTTGCAAGATAACTTTGCCATGTTTTCGGGCCCATTCCGGCAGTTTTTCGATCAACGTATTATTCAAATTGATAATTTGTTGTCGGTAGCGATCATTTTTATCAATTTTACCAAGGTTTTAAAAACTTGAATTTCACGACACCACATGGGTCCCGCAAATTCGATTTACTTGGAACGAAACTCGACATACTCACTAAGGTAAAAAAGTATGATGTTTTTATTTTGACGGAATGCGACTTGTGTATTTCTTTAGGTTAATGTCAACAGAAAAAAATGACACATATGCCGAATGATACAAATGTATATAGTACGGCTAGCGGCACCAACAGTAAAACCGGCAAACTTCAACTAACACCCCTGGTATAAGGTCAGGGATGCTGATTGGGGAATAGCTAGGCATGTGGTTTTGGAAAAGGACAAGGGTTAACAAGAGTTTGCATTGTACACTTGTTCACCTGCTTAAAAAAAAAGCAAATTACTAAGAACTAAGGTCTCTGAAAAATACACGCGAAAAGAAAAACTAAAACATTTTTCTTTGATCTCATTAATTAAATGTTAATTATAATAATTTGTATTTTAACTAAAATAAACCAGTTAAACTAAACCAGATTGCTGGTGTTTTTTGTTATAACTGAAAATAGGGATTGCGTTTTGCCTCCTATGAGTTTATGCACTTCCCACTACCCCCATCTTCTGATGTTGACTCAAAAGTAGAGCTTCGTTAAAGAATTTCTCTTAATGGTCTATCTCTCCTGAGTTACAGAGCCGCTAACAAAAAACCTTCAACAGCCATTCCTCCTAGTTGGTTTTCACCGGAATGAATTGGCAAGTTCGTGACACCAAGTGGGCAGGACAGCGAAATTTGGCGGCAACCAGCCTTCAAATCCAGTTTTAGCTCAGGTTGCTGCTCAGGTAACGTTCAACAAGTTGCTATAAAATTTCAAATCCCATTGACCAAATGGCAATAATGTGAAAATAAATAAAACGAATTTTAACATTTAAAAATAAATACTTTGAACTAGAAAACGTTCACGTGTGGGATCAACCGTCCATTTTGTTGCCTATCTTCTTAGGCTAAAAACATTTGGATAAATAAATATTGTTTATCAATTGAATTAAAATCAAAACTATAAGTTTTAAATTTAAAATGTACGCCTATTTGTTACAAGTTAGTTAAATTCCAGAAAAAATTAATAATAAGCTTCGGGACGCCGAAGTGTTTATATACCCTTGGAGTTTGGAATTGATTGATGGAACTTATCTGATGCCTATCAAGAATTTATTTATTTATATTTATTTACTCTTTATAGAGTCGGAAAGGACTACTTGATTTCGTTACAAACTTCTGACTAAAATGATGCATTCTATTTTTCTTTAGTTAGATTTTTTAAATTAGCTGTTTTTGCACATCTGACTAAGATTTTCCGCGGAGTCTGGGTCTCTCTTATCATAAACATTGACACGGTAGACGATCAAATCTTAATTTGATAAAAAGTCACATCATAACTTCCATTAGATGCGTAGTCGCTGCTTAGCAGCCGGTCTTAAAATAGTTTCAAAGTTATTCTGCAACATATGATGTAGAATTAAAAACAGTCAGAAAGTCAACCTAAGCAAACCGGGACGATATAAATTCAGGCTGTGACAATGGCTCCGCATGATGCCTGCGGTCTCAAGTGACAACCCTCAGGGACGGTGGCAACACTTGAGTTAACACGCCGCCGGAAAAGGGCACGTGGCAGGCAGGTTTGTCCACGCTCTATTGACCTCCTGTCAAGTGGCTAATTAGGTCTGGCCCACTCCGAGAGACTCCGCCAGAGAAGGCATAACACCTTTTTCGCCTCAGGCAAATCTAGCTGTGCCGACCAAGTACATACGCGGTACACAATTCTTTAAGAATAGTATTGTGTATCTGCGAATTCCAGTCACTCCCCTTGCCGCCCCCCGTTGCATGCGAGCTAATTGAAAAGCTGCGTGTCTCAGTCTTGTTTTGGAAGATGAGATCAGGATCGGGCTCGAGATCTGGACTCGAACATGTGTGGTCTTATAGTACTGACAGTTGCCAATGACAATAACTGACACCTTACATCAGCCCACTTATGTAAATGTAATTCTTGTTTTCAGGGCAGGTTGGTTGTTTTTCCTGGGATGCGACTGCAGTTGCAGAAAGCTCTGGTGGTACGCAGCGCACTGGGGGAGGCGGGGCCCTCAGCCCATTCAAATGCAATTATCCTGAGCCACACGCTTCCGTGTTAGCCCTCGCCGTTAGTGACCATGACGGACCCAAATACCAACGCATTGTCTGGCTAATGAGTTAGCCACATTCCTGCAACTCACGGCCGGAGAAGTGTGCGCACCTTTTATTCTCCCCGCCATAAATCAAATCGCGACCCCGCCAACACCTGTGCCAAGCCGTCTCCAAATGAAGTAGTTACCAGTGAAAAGGCGGTAGTTCATCACCATCGTCGTCGCCATGATGCAGGGAATTTAATTCACGCCCGCCAGGAATGTCTGCAAAAGACCCCAGGCCCGTCCCCGGCAGCTGCTCCGCATCCCTGTGAGGCGCACAAGGCGATAATTAGCGCGCAATTGCCGTTAACGCCGCCTTTGTCTATTTCTGTCACTTCTTGTCCAGCTGCAGAGGAATATTGAGTCAGCAGATCGTCGTCAGCCAGGAACGTGACGAGCAGCACAACCGAAGTCAATCAGGGAGCCGCGGTGATGATCACCAGTAGTAGTACAGTAGTGAGCGCTACTATACACTGCTTACACTACTTAGAGAGCAAAGGCATAACTCCTGGGCCACTTTATCGAGTCCCACGCGCCAATTGATATGTATGTTTATAATATATGGTATGCAGTACACTCCTTAGACTTATGTACATACATACATATGTGAAATTGAGGCTGCATAAATTAAAAGTAATAAAAATAAAACGCACTAAAAGCGAAAATAAATCACGAGACAGCGCCTGCAAACCGGGCGGGCACAAGGAAATCCTATGGCTAGCTTCCAGCTACCAACTATCAACTACCGTCTCCTTGGCCTGCGCGAATATTAATTGTGAATGCACCGGGCGCATCAATTCCGAGAGTCAGAGTCCACACAAATCCCGCGGATGAGCTTGGGCAGGAGAGCTGGAAGCAACAACGCCTGCCACACCACGACTCTGGAGCGGCCTCCGATTGCCTTTGAAATATGACGCCCAGTTTTCAGCATGGATATGGATGTGGACACCGCTGGAGTTCCGAGAATGGCCGCAGACATGGGCGGCAGCCTCGATTTGTGCAAATGAGCCGGATAGCCACATAGCTGCATGCGAACCAGATTAGAATTTGACGCAATTACGCACCTCCAGCTCTCTCTTCAGACAATGCTGAAGAAAACCAATCCTTGACCGTAGATTGGATGCTAGTTTTGCCAATTAACAAAGGCAGAACGGTAATCGACCTCTAAAACAGTTGCTCTGCGTTCTGGCTACCGGCTCCATGCTAATGACGCCGCACCTGCACCTCCGCTTCCTTTCTCGGTCCAAACGCCGTTTCTCTGGCAAAAAAATGCATACACAGAGGAAATTGTACATTGGTTGAGAAAGAAACAACGCAATTTGAGGAAAAAACATGCTCTTTTACCTTTGAGATTGTATAAAATACGGCAGAGGAGTATAACATTTCTTACCCTAAAATGCACAAATTGATTCTTATCCGCTTACCACATTAAAATTAGTTAATTTAAACTAAAGCAAGAAAGGTGTCATTTTCGAATGAATTCATTATATTCTATTATAGTTAATAAACATAAATGCTGCATCACCAGCCGATTCAATTTAGCTAGGCACTTCGTCTGTTCAGATCTCAGAGACTGTATGAGCTAGAGCTACCAACATTTAAATCTCTTTCTTGCGGATGAAGTTTATTTTAAGTATTGGTGGTGTGGTCTAAGTATTAATTATGGCACTCCCACAATTTTATAAAGTATGTCAGTTTTTATGTAAGGATATAAGACTTTATTTAAAAACAGTATTTTATAAAGAGGCATGTTAACTATTAATTGCAAGCAGAACAAGTTTCTTCTGTAGATTAGACCTAAAGTAAGTTTAAAATTCTTAGAGTTTTATTATGAATTTGAAATGCACCTTGTCTAAATTTATTTATATATATAATTCTACATTGACACATGCACATACATATATATAACAAAAAGTCACACATAGTTTAATTAATATTTGAATGAATTCTTAAAATACCAGCCTTTTGCTGAGTCTGAGCGATGTTTATTCTGAGTGTTCCGTCCCCTTATAAGTCCCGATACGCAGCAGGAGAGCGGGAAAGAGTGGGAATGTAATTTAATAAATTGATTATATCAATTAGTTGCTGCATTTTTATTGAAATTGCTGTTAATATTGCTAGCTTGGGCAGCCATTTCGCATGGGGCTGTGGAGTATTTCTCATCGCCGTTCCCTGGCGGAGAGCCTAACTTATGGCTCAAACATGTCCCCCGGGCACGGGTGCAAATTGAGGCGCTTTGTATTGATTAGCGAGCAACCGCGGCGGTCCGAACGATCTAAGCCCTTTCCCAGGGCAGGCCGTGTGGACTGACCCAATAAATTATGCCAGGTGCCCTTACTCCCCTTCGCAAATGGCTTAATTTACGGCTTCGATCGGGACGTGACTTAACTGCTGCCACCATCCGCGTGATCCAGCGACCACTGGAAAATGCCCATGTGTGACAACCAGCAGGCGAGCATTAGAACATTGGTTGCATATTGATGTGGCGACTATTGCATTGCTCCGCAAGTGCATCAGGTGATTGCTCCGAACTTCAGCCTTTGTTTTGCTTTTGGGGTCAATGTCAGCCTTGTTTTCGGATGGCCACACAACTCGCATTTTAAGCGGATCGTATAAATTCCGGACCCGCCGCCCCAGCGCCATGTAGTCAGCGCAATGGCACTCACCTATACGGTTGTCTGTCTGCTCGCCGGTCTCTTTCTGCTCGGCCTGGTGCGTGCGGAGGTGGGCCTGTCCCAAAGGCAGCATCGGCTGGGGGCTTCCTACCCGTCAGCCGGCTACAAGCCAGCCAGACAGTTCAGACTGCCGGCTGCTCAGCCGAAGCCTGCTCGCCTGGTGGCGAACAGCGAAGCGCAGGAGGACCTCGATGACGCCGCTGAGGAGTTGACCCCGCGACCCAACGCCGCTCCAGCTCCAACTCCAGCTCCGGTCCCTGCTGCAGTTCCAGCCATCGCGGGGACTCCCACCATTGCCTACTATCCGGCCGGAGCCATTGGATTCGTTCACCCGGCGACTTTTGCTAAAATTATCGCCGCACCCCAGCCGGCGTCCGCTTACGGGGCCACGCCCCAGTACTACGCCGCCTACTTGGGCTAAGCATTTGGGCAATAAAAGTTGATTGTTACGGCCGAAAGTTCTATTTGGGGTTCGGACACCGTTCGCAGATACATTCGCGGTTAATTGCGCGCCTGCTCGTTGGCTCCTCGCGATCCATGACCATGGTATTAGGCATGCTCCATCAACAAGCCAAATCTATACGACTGCGAATCCTAACCTGCTGCCGGCAGAAGGCAGCTTACCAAACGGTAGGCTCTGACTGTCTGTCAGAGCCTGACGAATGGCTCGGAGGAGGGTCTGTGGATGGATGGCGGAGGAACTTGCAGTTGGGAGGGGCTCCAAAGCGCAGCAGCAGCTTTGACAATGAGTGAGCAAAGATAATCTATTATGACCGTAACAAGAAATAAATCCCAACTCGGTAATCCATCATTTTACGACTTTGCAATCAAAACAAGGAGTTTAACTAAGAGATAGGCTGTAGGACCGAACTGGCTGGACGGGACGGAGTGGCGGATGGTCTCCGGCCTGGCCAATCAACAAGAACATACATACATTGTTGGCTAGTCGGCTAACGAACAGGCCGAGAGCCATGTTATCGCTAACCAGAACGCAGATTGGGCATGGCCAGGAAACATGGCTTTCGGACAGCAGCATGCACATCGAGCCCAATCTGACGAGAAGACTCGGCTCGGATGGCAGCTCGCGGCCTTTTTGGGTCCCGACTAAATAGTTGCCAATAATCTGTGTCCAAACTGATCGGGTTGCCGTTTATGGTAATAAACGAAATTATATGCCGAAATGAGCGGCGGCTTGCCAGGCCTCGTTACCGGAGCACAAACTTGGCCGTGCGTCCCGACTGATTGGCCACGGTTTCCGGCCAGCGCTCTGCACTATTATTGCTTCATCAAGTGTTCAACAGTTATCCGGAACATAATCGGCAGAAGCCTAAGCAGTGACTGGCCAGCGGACGTCAGAGACCCGACCTGTAAGAGCATTTGGAACTGCTCAAACATTTTCGCAATCGCATTTGGAGGTTAAGGTGCAACAGTTGGCAACATATCTGATGTCTCCGGGCCGTGCAGAATAACCAAAGGGCTTACCCGAAGAACAGTGGGGCCGTTTGGGTTTTTTCATTCAAAAACACAAAATTAAAAGTTATAATAAATAAAATAAAAAGTGCACTCCAGCGTTTTTTCTGAAAGGTTTTCTATTGACATAGAACATATGTAAAATATGTTTCCCTTCCACCAATGTTTAATGGAGTTTAAAACCTCTACTTTCTGTGGGTTAGATTTATAGTAAAAGTAATTTCATTCTCTAAGCAGAGTATATATAATATATTTCATATAATTATTCTATTCTGTACAGTTTAAATTTAAAAATAGTTTATTATATTTCATCTATAATTTGTCCATCATTACCGTAAGAGCCGAAGAGGCAACAGGAATGGTAAATTAGGTAAACGAATACTCAAAGAGAATGTTAAAAATTATTCAGCAGAACTCATAATTATTAATATTTTCTGAAAGATTTAAAAATAGTTATAAATTAACAACGCAAATAAATAGAATATATTTGAACTAAAAATACTTATTCTACTTGAAACTTGAACACATATCTAAAACTGCGTATATTTGAAAAGTTTATTTAAAATGTCAAACCTGTCATGTAAAGTGAACTTTTGCTAGAGACCCCATTGTGCGGCGGCAGGCTTTTTAAAGAAAAATGGGTTAGATTCGTGATTCTACGTTCACATGCCAAGAGAAAATTAAATTCGTATAAGTAAAAACCTGATACTATAACTTGACTGAAATGTCGAACAAGAATTGTTTGTTTTTTTAAGCCCTGTACCCATATTTAGGGCACAATGTTAATAAAAAGGGATAACGTATGTGTAATAGGCGAAGGATAAATATTCTTAACCGATATGTTACTGGTTTATATATACGTTTCAGAGACTTCAAAAGCTATACATAGTTTCAAAATTCGGTGACAACATTTCTATCGCTTATCGATCTTTGCCCACGCCCTATAAATAATAATAAAATAGGCAATAATTAATAATAGACATTTTGAAAAGGACTAAATAGGTTAGGTTAGTCCGGACGGCCCTCGAGGGGCCACACATAGGCCAATATGGCCCATAGCTATCCGGGGAAACTCCTCGATGGACCTAGAGACTATTTGTGCGGGGTTCGAGATCCTTGAATATCAAGGTGTTTTTCGCAAAGGCAAGGAGTTCGCCTGGCTTCCTTCTGGAGGCATCTTCTAGCGATGCCAGAACTGGAGAGCCTAGGTATCTCATTCTTGCCCTCGTTAGGGCCGGACATTTGCAACGAGATGCTCCAAGATTTCGGTTGCCTCGGACTTATCACATTTCCGGCATTTGGCGTTGTCGGTAATACCCAGCTTGACTGCATGTGCAGCAGACAGACAGTGACCTGTCAGGAGTCATAATACTTAAATGATATTTTAAAAATTGTTTCTAAGCTTTAATTTCGTAAAAGTTACACCTTAATACAAACTAAAATAATATTTTTTCAATTGTCAAAAGGCATACACTTGCTCTCATATCTCTGCGTACAGGACAATTAAAATTCATAACATTGATATTAATGTCAAATAACTCTGCAAATATTTTGCACTGCGAATCTAAAAGTGGTTCAATCTATTAGTCATTTAATTGACGTCGCCTCTTTATTTTTGCAGAATTATGAGCCTAGCGGTTTTCTTACCATGACCATTTTACCCAAACCCCTTTAAAAATAGCAGTCTCAAAAGTTTGCGAACAGCAAAGACATTAAAGTCAATGTTATGATTTCTTATTGTCCTGTACGCAGAGATATGAGAGCAAGTGCATATTAAGTCTATTTCGCAACGATATTAAATCGATAACAGAAATGTGTTTAAAAAAAACCCACAGCCGACTAAATTTTTACATATTCAAACTTGATAACCTCAATAAAGTTATAAGTTAAAATACAATTTCTTTATTTTTTTTTAAATTATTTCTATTAGTTTATATACCCTTTTTTTTAATCTTTTATTATGAATTTAGTCAGAAGTTTGCAACGCACTGAAGAAGTCATTTCCGACCCCTAAAGTATATATATTCTTGGTCAGCATCAACAGCCGAGTCGATCTGGCCATGTCCGTCTCTTCGTTCATCTTTTCGTCCGCTTCTCTGTCCTTTTCTACGCAAACTAGTCCGTCAGTTTTGGAGCTCTCAATGGAACTTTGCAGATATGTAGTCTTCTGACTTTTCTCACTAGTTTATAAGGATCGTTCCAGATTGGGCGACTGTAGCTGCCAACGACATATTTTCATCTTCTCTGTGACATGGCCATGTTTTATTATTTCAGAAATGTAAAGCTGTAAATGTTTTTACATTGTGTAAATGTAAAACTGTAATATTTGTATTGGTAAATATGTATAATAAAAGTTGATTGTTTTTGTTCAGGATATATATTTATAATTTCAATTTTATTAAATATTTTATATCTAAAATATTGTTCTTTATAAGATTTAAAAATTATAGATTTGAAATTGAATCAAAACCAAATAAATAAATTTACTGTATAAATATATATCTTTTATATTTCTCCTTCCTTAATTATCTTGAATTTTAGCAAATCTTTTAAATCTTGCACCAAATATAGTCCTAGGCAAAGGCTATTAGTGGCCATTTATTATACAGAAATATTTTAAATTTTCATACTATTTTTACTTTGAATGCGTACGAATGTCGGGTTCGACGTTATAGAAACACCCATTTATTTTGTATGGGGTCGGAGATGCCTCCTCCTTCTGCCTGTTACATATGTATGTAAATTCTCGATTGGCACCTAGCAACCCTAGGGTACAAGGGGTGCCTAAAACCTATGGGTGTTAACTGGACATATTTTCTTGTACATGCATTTAGTATGTACTTACATACTTGCATTATTACACTTAAAAGTACATTTTTACTTTATTTTATTCCGTTGCATTTCACAGATTTATTCATTTTACTATATTAAGCCAAAGTCAGAACTTTTTTCAACATTTGTAAACGCATTTTAAGGATACTTTTTTTTGAACTTTTTTCTTTTTATAGAAAACTATGTATTAAGAAAAAAAGTTTTGTGTCTAGCCATAAACAAGCAAGGCTTTCTATATATACATATGTCTATTTATGTTTAGATTAGATAAAAACAAGAAAGGAAGCTAACTTCGGCACGCCGAAGTTTGTATACCCTTGCAGATATTATTTCATTAAATTTTACTTATTGTTTAGAGTTTGACAGTTACAGTTTTACATTCCCAGTTTTACATTTTCTCTACATCTACCGATCGGTTTATATGGCAGCTATATGATATAGTTGTCCGATTTTCATAAAATTTATACCAAAATTCTGAACTAATAAAATGAGCTTATATCTCAGAGTAGATAAAAATAGGTTGAAAAACAACGAAGTTATAATGTTTTTTCTATCAATTTCCCGATCGTTCCTATGGCAGCTATAAGATATAGTCGTCCGATTGAAATTTTTACCAAAATTCTGAAATAATATAAAATGGCCATATCTAAAAAATGGTGCAAAAATGTTGATAAACAGCCAAGTTATAATTTTTTTTCCAAAAATTTATCGATCATTTGTATGGGAGCTATATGATATAGTCGTCCGATCCGGCCCGTTCCGACATATATAGCTTTAAAACTGAGAGACTAGTTTGCGTAGAAACGGACAGACGGAAGGACAGACGGACGGACAGACGGACATGGCTAGATCGACTCGGCTGTTGATGCTGATCAAGAATATATATACTTTATAGGGTCGGAAAGGTCTTCTTCACTGCGTTGCAAACTTCTGACTGAAATTATAATACCCTGCAAGGGTATAAAAATTTGTACAATTTGTTGTTGCCAATTTGGCAAACAACATATTTGAATCGTGCGCCCAACCACCCCCAAATGGGCAGCACTTACGTCGGTTTGTTGTTCAACACTGTGAGGAGATCAGACTTTTCGGTCCGAGCGACCTAGCTATGTAGCTAGG